GTTGTAAAAATTTTCAACTTCAGTATAACGTTCACAATTACGTTTTTTTGAAAATTTTTACAACTCTAATATAACGGTTAACAATTTTGATATAGCAGTTAACAACAAGTTTTTAAATTCAAAAAGTGACATTTTTATAACTTCAGTAATGCCTTTAACAAACTCAAAAACCTGTTGTTAATCGCTATACTGAAGTTGTTAACAGGGTTACAAAAGTTGTTAACCGCTATATTGAAGTTTTAAAAATTTTCAAAAAAATTATTTCCGGTCGCCGGAGTTTGTTGAATTTCCTAAAAAACTTGTTGTTAATTGCTATATTGAAGTTGTTAATAGCATTATAAAAGTTGTTAACCGTTATATTGGAGTTGTAAAAATTTTCAACTTCAGTATAACGTTAACAATTATGTTTTTTTGAAAATTTTTACAACTCCAATATAACGGTTAACAATTTTGATATAGCAGTTAACAACAAGTTTTTCGAAAAATTCAAAAAGTGGCTTTTTTATAATTTCAGTAATGCCTTTAACAAACTCAAAAACCTGTTGTTAACCACTATACTGAAGTTGTTCATAGGCTTACAAAAGTTGTTAACCGTTATATTGAAGTTGTAAAAATTTTTAAAAAAATTGTTTCCGGTCGCTTGAGTTTGTTGTTATTAACCGCTATATTGAAGTTGTTAATAGGGTTACAAAAGTTGTTAACCGCTATACTGAAGTTGTAAAATTTTCAAAAAAATTATTTCCGGTCGCCGGAGTTTGTTGAATTTCCCAGAAAAGCTGTTGTTAATTGCTATATTGAAGTTGTGAATGACATTACAAAAGTTGTTAACGGTTATATTAGAGTTGTAAAAATTTTCAAAATAATTGTTTCCGGTCGCCGGAGTTTGTTGAATTTTCCAGAAAAGTTGTTGTTAATTGCTATATTAAAGTTGTGAATAGCATTACAAAAGTTGTTAACCGTTATATTGAAGTTGTAAAAATTTTCAAAAAAAAAATTCCGACCGCCGGAGCTCCGGTGACCGCCGCTGCCGGAGGTCCGGTGACCGGCCGGCCAGTAGGGGCTGTGATATTTTAAAAAATAATATTTAAAATGAAGGGCAATGGTCTTTTCTTTTCACATAATAATCTCAATTTGGTCTCATGGTACCAAAATGGGATTTGTGGAATTGGGCGGACGTTTCTGGGCTTTTGGAGTTGGAGGTGCATTTTTCTGTCTTTTTCCCTATTCTAAATATGTGATGGCTTCTTTTTTAATCTGGTTCGTGATATGTTTGTCCACTTTGGGGGGCTTTCGGAAACGCACACTCTTGGAGAGAAGTCAAACTTGTGGGGACATATTTTAGGTGTTTCATTACCTTTTTCCTTTTAAACTCTTATGATTTTATTATATTCTTTATAAATATATTATTCTCACATATATCAATAGATTTGGAATGCTAAATTTTTTAATATTCTATCATTTTTATATTATATATGCAATAATATAATTATAGTTTTAAAGAATTTTAATTTTTATTTACTTTTATTAGTGTGAACTAATTCAGAATGTATGAGAAAGTTTTCAGAGAATTAAAAGAAAAAAGCCACAAAAATAAAAAGTTTCTTTTGGTGAATAACGAAACCATAAAAAAGTTACTACAACGTTTTTCATGCGCCCCTTTATTAGCGGCCGACAATTCTTTTGCCCACCGTTTCAACTTCAGACTAAAACAGGAGGAATGGTCCCAAAATATATGTTGCTGATTTTCAGATCAGTCCTTAGAATCTGATAACTATTCCCCCAATCTTTAATATAAGGCCAATTATTAAGTAGTCTTATCCTAAATGTAAGATTTACTTTTTATATTTATCAATTTTTTTTAAATTACTCCTGTTCATACTCTCAACATAATCAAGTAGGAAAAGAAAGGAAAGTAGAATATTAAAGAAGATGATTATGATATTTTAAAAAAAACGTATCATAATTTTATAATTAACTAACTTACGTCGTTTATTTTTTTAAGAGAAGTACTATTTTACGGTTGCATTGCGTTTTTTTTTTTGGAGGGTGAATTGTATTCCTACTATTTTGACCTCACATGCTGATTTTCAAATCAGTCCTTGGAATCTGATAACTACTCCTTCGATATTTAATATAAAATTTAATTATTGAGTTAGTATTATTTTAAATGTAAAACTTATTTTTTTAAATTATTCCTGTTGATATTCTCTCAACATAATCAAGTCGGAGAAGAAAGAAAATGTTAAGAACGATGATTATGGTATTTTAAAAAAAATATGTCGTATATCTTATAATTAACTAATTTATCTACCTTATATAAACTAATCAAATTAGTTAAATAAGTCTTACATTAATAACAAGAGAAATATTTTTTGTACAGCCGCATTTCTACTTTATTTTTTTTTTGGTGAATTGCATTTCTATTATGTCGATTTTACATGTTAATTTTTAAATTCTTTCCGGCGCAGATATGGTAAAAACAAATAAATGCTTCCTGCCTTCAGGACCATTTCATAAAAGATCAAACTGTGCAAACCGGAACTGGTTGAATAGGTCAATTTGCATCTGCTTTGACTGGTCCTATGTTACACTGGTAATTTTAGTTGAAACTCTTAATACGAGATTTATCACAATGAAGCAGACACTTTCAAAATATCTAAGGCAAAGATTTTTTTTTTAATAGATTTTTATGCCAGATTGATCACAATAAAAACCAACAGCACTTCATCCAAACGAGATGCCAACTTTTTTTATTAAGAAAAAACATGTCATGTGAACTTAAGAGGAAGGGGAAAAAATTACCTCTGAAGGGAGATTTCTTTCTTTTTGTTTTTTCCCGAAGATTTTTATGGGCATATTATTGACAAGAAAACAATAAAGCTGATGTTTTATTGGTCATCCATTTTCCAAACTCTAGAATGCCAATCCTAGTTGTATAATTTCTTCCATTTTATATAATTGATCTTCTTATTTAAAAAAAAAAACTGATGCAAGAAAATGACTTTTTTGTTTTGTTTTTAAAAAGTAGCTTGTTTGTGCAAAGCAGAAGAACAAGTTTGACATAAAAAATGAGAGAATGGATACATTGATCATCGTGTCATCCTGGGGCCAAATTAAATTTGATTTAGAATACAGCAAGTGATACAAACTAAAGTTATTCTCTTATTGAGATCAAAAATTAACTAGGTCCTAAATTAACTAAAATAAAATTGCTATTAAGAAAGATTTTTTTTATTTTAAAATCTAAAAATTTTAAAACTACTTTACAGATAAATTAAAAAAAATTCTAAATTTTTTTTGGATTTTTTATATAAAAAATGAAAAGGTAATTTGAAATTGGAAATGAAAGAAATTTAATTAAAAAGATAGCAAATGATAAAAATTTGGATTTTAGGGAAATAAGAGAGAATGCTTCTTGGAAAATGGAAATTATGTTATTCTTACTCAAAATGATTTGGAAGTTATTTTGTTCACCAATTTAAAATCAAAATTTTACCCACTAATCAAGTCAAGTAATCTTAATCAATGGATGTCCTATAACTCTAGCCACAACCACTAATTAAAAATACCATTAAAAACCAATTAGTGTATAATTAGGATTAGATTAATGCAACAGGGGTCTTTATGTAAATTAAAGAACACTGATATTCATCAAGTACCATGCAATTATAAAATTCATCTAAATTATGAAAGAACAAGATAAGCACATAGAACTTCAAACAATATATATATATATTAATCTCAAATTGCAAAATCTAATTCCAATCACAAAAATTCAATTCCAAACTAAGAATTACAACCAGTAATCTCATAAAATTTAATCAAATAATATCAATCATAACTCAAAAAATCCATTATGTGATTAAATCAAAGAAATTGAAACAGAAAAACCGGCCTAATTAACTTTGAAGCTCAAATCCAATTCTCCATCTTTAAGAAGCTTAATGAAATTAGCCACACATGAGTTGAATTTCTGCCAACAAAATTTCGAATTCGACGGCGGCCATGAGATGGAACCAGAGATCCGATGCTGTCAGGCCGAAGATGGTGATGCTGTGCCGATGAAGAAGGATGGTGACGATAGATGGTACTTGGGTGCAAAGGAAAGTTGAAGGGTGGTCGCCTCTGTGTCCCTGCCGCGCGCGTGAGTGGTCATATATAATAAGGGATGCTCATGAGGAATCTTGCTGCCGTTCTGCCTTTTGATTTTTTTTTTTGAAATATGCTGGTCTTTTTTTTTTGGCAATTCTCTAGGCCCTCAATTGTCTTTTTCACTTTCAGCTTCTCATTTAATTTTCCTACAATGAAATCCAAGATAATATAATATCAAATATTCTAAAAATCAATCAGTTAAAATAAATCATAAAAATATGATATTTTTTTTCTTTTTAGCAGTATTTTCATCAAATTACATTTAATTCAAATTAATCATAATTAAAAAATGAATGTTTGATTTGGAATGATTTCTTCTAACAAGAAGTTTGGAGAATAGAGACTAGTGTAACATAATGCAGAAAACAACTTTAATGCATAGGACAACTAACACTCATTTTTCGGACTTCATCACTTGTGCAAGTGAAAAGCATAGGGTTTTATCATGTTGACAAATGAACCATTTAATATTTGAACTGATCATGTGAAAATATCCGGACCTGTGGAAAAATGAAGTTTTTGCATGAAGAGAAAAACCTGAAATCGAATTGGAAAGAAAAAATGGTTGGATGGCTTATATCGGCTCAAATATTGAATTAACATATAATAATCTCCAGCATCACAATGCACAACCAAATAAATAAAATAGTACCCAGAGAAGGGCATAGCATTTCCAGTTCATGCATTCACATCCTGACATACAGAAGAAGTGCATTATATGCAAATGACAGATTATTACTTATAATGTGCATTAGACAATTCACAAAGCAGCATACGGAGAAAGTAAATATATAGTGCTAAACATGAAACTGTGAAAGCAAGTAGCTCTAAGGGATTTCACAAAAACTTCAGGATTCAATGAAGTCGTCCAGCTTGCCAGCCTTGTCAAGCAAAAAGGCTAAGGACTCCTTCACAGAAGCTAACTCGTTCTTGATGGACTCAAGCTGAGCTTCGAGACTGAAAGCTTGACCTTTGGTCTCCTCAACCCTCCTCTTAATGTCTTCTCCATCACCACATTCCTCAATGCATTTATACACGTAACTGAGCCATGAAGCATCAAAACCAACCACTTCTAAGATGCTGCAACACTTTTTGATGTGGTTCCTATCATCTTCTGTCAAGTGGCCTCTTCGAGTGGTCCTCAAAATGCGAGTCACTTCAGCAAATAAGGAAAAAGAGGAGGAAGCAAACACTCTTTGTCGCTCTGTGTTGAGCCAATCAAGCACTTGAGGATGGCGCTTCACCCCAGCCTCCAAATATGGCATGTTTTGTTCAAGGATGTCAATCATTTTCATGTAGTTTGTATAAATGTTTGATTTCTGTACTGGTGAAATCATAGGTTCCGAAGCTTGTGAAGGTGACGGATCAATAGCTGAATTAACAAAACAAACATAAAATAAAATAGGTTGAGTCGAGTTTTGAAAAACAAGTCTTGTGAAATGCACTATTTATTGCCCGATCATCAATTTATATCGAATCTTGCAAAATGAAATCAGTACCTGCTTCAGGAATCATGGTTGAGTTTGACATATCTTGAGCAGTTGGAACTGAAGGCTTTTTGATGGTGTCGCATACCTTTTGAGTCCCAATATACGAATCACACGGTTCTTCTGGTAGATTTTTATAAACACCTCTATCATGAGCTAGTTCATCCAAAGAATATAACCAAGACAAGCAAAAATACAAAACAGGATAAGAACCTGTGCTTTGTGCTGTAGTGAGTTTCTCTGCATCTCGGTCAGTTTGAATTAAGGGTTTTTCCATGGTGTCATGAATCTCTTGAGTTCCAGCACCTAAAAAAAGGAAATTTCATTCATTATTTAACTAAGCAACATTACTATATCAAAGATATATCCATCAAAGCAAGGCTAGAACCTATGTCTTGTATCACAGCTGGTCTTTGTGCTTCTTGAGCAGTTTGAATTAAGGGCTTCTCAACAATTTCATTCATCTCTGGAGTCAAAAGGCCAAATAATAAGTTTAGGCCCTCTTTTCAGGTATATTTAAGTTGGCATAATGGAAGGTTATGATAGTTAATTGAGCAAAACAGTACTGCAATGATGCCATTTGACACATGAAACTCGTCTAAGGTCATTTATGACAAATTTAAGATAACAAAATAAGATCAATAGTTACCTTCCATATTGTGGTAGGACTCAATATGTTTTTGAGGAGGCTGAACTAAGGGCATCTGATCAATTGTCTCATGTGTCCCTGTTACTGAATAAAAACGTTAAAAAAAAAGTGCAAGGACGTACAATGACCCAATACATTTACAACATAAAAAAGCTCCTCCTTCTAAAAAGAATCTAAAATATTGAAGAGCTTGTGGCCAGGGTAAACGAATTTTTAGAGACTAGATATCCAAGTCACATGGTTCTTTCAAAATATTTCTCACATGATAAGAATTTAGACATATTAATTAAGGTTATGAGTACAACAAAATCAACCCATGAATCCTGAAATGCACTAGAAATTGGTGAATTTACTGGTTATAACCAACGGCTTTTTATGACTTCACATATGTATTTGTTGAGTCCTAATACTAAGTGAATAAATAAAATAGATATGGTGTAAATTTGTCCTGAAAGTTTTCACCTAAAACCATTGAATATCCATAAGTCTTTTGAGGAGTAATGTTGCCCTAGAAGTATAAAAAATGATAACATTGCTTCTCACAAAACTTTCGAGGCAAATTTACACCTTATCTTCAGGAAAAAAACAAAACATTAAATTTAAAATATTTTTCATGAGACTTTACCAAAATAAAAATAAGTTCCTTCCCTCTACATGTGAAAGAAATGTAACTTCCTCTGTTTTGAGCAATAATGGAGGCAAATATCTGATTAAGCAAATTCTCACCAAATGAGAATTTTAAGTCAACAATTCCTATGTAATTGATGTTATTTCCCATTATAGCAAGTAAGAATCATTTCTCCAAAAAAATAAATAAAATTAAGCTATCATCACTGTAATAAAAATGTGTTCTCGAACTTTTTGTAGGAGAAAATGGGTGGTCCGGATGATCAAATTTTTACTCATATGAATTTTAAAGTCTTGTAATTCCTCATATATATCTCAATTCATATATAAGAAAGTCAGAAAAAATTAATTAGCCAAGTACCATAATGAACATGCATTAGTGCATTACCCTAAAAGAAAGCAATGTAGATAATCTGTCACATGTTAAAAACAATATCAGTACCTGCATCATAAATTTCTGTCGGGCTAAGAGCAATTTTAGTAGCTTCAACCAATGGCCTTTCAATGTTCTCACCAATCTCTCGAGTCCCCTCAGCTAAACCTATCAGTTTTAAAAATGCCAGAGTAGACACAAATGATACAACATTTTAACGAAATAAAATTATATTACTTCTGAAAACTGCAAAACAGACCCAAACCAAAAAAAAAAAGGAAAGAAAGAAAAACATTACTTTCTTTATTGTTGACAGTTGTGGATTGCTTTGACAGATTCTTGCTAGACTCAGTCTCTGCATCGCGTGACTCTTCTAGTAGTTTTCAATTCCAATAATAGCATATTAGAATCATTAATTAATATAAAAACGCAGAGCATTGTTTCCGGCAACTTAAACAAAGCTACTCTTAGTGGCTTCATGCATTCCTTGAATCTAAATATCTAAATAGCTAAATAAATAAGTAAAGAATGAAATACGATTGTTCACAAAATATAATGACGTGCCTTCCTTTCAAATAAACAAAAATATGAGCACTGTAACAAGGTTTAAACCTACATCAGCTTTTGTAAGACTTCACATGATTTAAGCAGTTGGAACTGAGGGTTGCCAGATGATTTTTACTCATCTTGTGAGTGTCAATAACTATGAATGAGAAATTTAATATAGAATGATATGAGGTTTTAGAAAATATAATAAGAAATTTCTTCCTTCTTACAAGAGCAAGAAAAGCTTTATGTTCCTTTGCGGCTGATGATAAAGGTGGTGATTTTATTGAACAATTCAGCACCATGAGAACTTTTTTGGTCATATCAATTATTTTTAGATGATTTCAGATTATAAAATCAGAATTCAAAGTGTTTCACCAAAAAAAAAAAAAGAACATCCATGAAGCCAAAAAAATAAGATAACTAAGTGTCACTAAGCATTCTATTAAACAAAAAGAATTATTCACTATATTTGCCCAAGGATAGTGACGGTGATATTAAAAAAAAAAAAACTAAGACACTCAAATCTGTAAAAGAAATGAAGGCCAAAGTTAGAGAAATATCTGACTATTTATGGCAAATAGAAGAATGCAAGACAATCTCTGATTCTCTATACCTGTATCTTGATTTGTAGAAGGGCTGGAGGCATTCTGGGCAACCTGAGCTAGAGGCGTCTCAATACCTGACGAGGCTTTCTCATTCTGCTCTTTGTCATGAGATTGACTTGGAAGTTTGTGTGTTTCTTGCTTCCCAGTTTCTGTAATCTGATTAGACTTTGATTGTCCTACTTGCTCCTCGGAGCTTGATGTTCCCGTAGTATTTGCAGTCATTTCATGAGTTTGACTACTTTCTGTAATATCACTTGAAGAGTCCGCATAGCTCCCTTCTTCTCTAATTGCCTAATTAAGGTAGGCATAAAACGCATTATATGTTGACAGCCATACGCATTTAGATTTAACAAAAGACATTACACAATCATAACGAAAATCAAAGATATTTTCACAATGATTTTTTTTTTTTAAAAAAAAAAACTTTTATGCATATAGGAAAAAATTTAGTCAAATCAAAAAATACCATATCCGCGAACACCTTCTTTATGGTCCTATTTAGATCACCTTCCCAATACACTTTACCATCTTCTTCGTCTAATAATATCTTTTGAAGCATGGGGGTGCTTGTGTCTCTCTCAGAGAAGATCCTCATTCTTGGGCATTGCTTAACAACAACGTTGACCAACAATGGAAGGTTCAGCACACAATTACTAGAGCAAAACCTTTTGATCATTGGCAGACGCTCGAGCTCCAAAATTTGTAAGCTGCAGAATGCAATTTCATCTTGAGACCCCTCCCTCTCTTCTTCCGCCACAATTTGCTCAAGTGAATCGCAGTTAGTTATTTTCAATGTTGATAATCTGACCAGACTACTTGCGGTTGATGAGGTAATCAAGTGAATCAATCCATTGCAATTTTCCACTTCCAAATATGTCAACCGACTAAAAGTTACCGAGGAAGGCACCAAGTGTTTCAATTTGGAACATTGATCCACATGTAAGGTTTCAAGTACCTCAAGAACTGGGTCTATTTGAAATCCTTCTTTACATATGTGCTGGAGTTCATGTAAATTACTGAGTGTCAAAACTTCAAGTCGTGTTCCAGTTTTAAATTTTCCTCTGTGATCTATAGGCATTTCTTCTTGGAATATCTCCTTGAAAGAACTCCGCTCAACAAGTAGCCCATCGAGAGTGGTGATGTTTTGGAGAAACCAATACGGAAAACTAACATGGTCATCATCAAAATTTACCAAATAAAGAAATTTGAGTTTGCTGAATTGTTCCCCTGAAAATTGCCCTCGTAGTATCATGCTTGCATCCTCACTATTTAGCGCCAATCTCTCCAAGTTGCAAATCACCTATGTACAGCATAGATAGAAATCGTTGATCAACTATTTTGTACACAGCAACATAAAAGAAATAAAATAGTGAGGCAGGAAGCAATTAAGTGATACATAGCAAAAAAATCAAAGATGACTATGTTGTTTTTTTTTTTGGCAAAATAAAAAAATTATTATGAAACGAGGCATGCATTGAGATATATTTATGGTGTCTAAACAAATTAAGTTTTTTTTCCTATAATTATTGTTATACCTCTTCAAGTGTGAAAAGAGACTGCTGCATTGAGATGTGGAGTTTACTATCAAAAAGTCTTTCTTGGCCACTTGTACTTTGAGTCTGGAAGAGCTTCAATTTCACACAAAGGCGGACATCTAATTCCCTTAATACTGGACATAGTACACCATGATTTCTAGCAAAAAATCCCTCCAGTTCATATAAATTCCAAAGCACCAATGAGGTCAAGTAATTAAACTCAAATTTAATAGGACTGTCCATGAGGCCTTCTTTGCCTGAAACAATATGTTTCATCCTCCTTGCATTCTTTATGGCAATACGTTCAAGTCGAGTAGCTTGCATTGCAATGGAGAGTGGAAAAAGGTATTCCATGGTCCTACAGTGTTCAACACACACAAGCTGCAAATTGGGGAAACGTACCTGCCATTTATTTGAATAAGACAAGTTAAACACAAACATGATATGTCATGAAACATGACCAATTATGATAATTTAGTAATACTAACTTGACCTGCGAATGATGAATCAAGAAATTAAATTTTTAAATCTTAAAACATTTACAGCAACGCTCGGGAAGATTATTATGATTTATGAATCTCCTTGTTTAGAAAGCTTCAATTATGCTGGCAAAAAAAAAAGGGGGGGGTTCCGATTGTCTAAAAAGTCTTTAAAAAGTATATGTTTGGTGTTTTATATTTAGACCATATTTTATTATAGCCTTTTAAGTTTACAAAGTGCATTTTTAATCCCTCAATCTTAACATCTTTAGTTTCACTTAAAGGAAAATGTTAATTCATTAAACTTAGCAATGACTATGTAATTAAACACCAACAAAAATGCCTGGATTTAATGTTTTTAATATAATATTATTATATATTGGCAAAAAGTAATATTTTTATATTTATATTAAAATTAACCAGCCAAAAAACATAAAAATATTATGTTTTTCAACATAAAAATATTATATTTTGACTCATTTATTTTTATTTTAATTTAAAATTATTAATTGTTTTCAAGATAAAAATATCGTATTAAAAAGATTAAAATCCAGATATGTTCTGTTAACATTTAATTTTACCGTCATCACTTAAGTTTGATGGATCAACATTTTTCGTTAAATTAAACTAAGGATTAATGTGCAAATTTGCTAAGAAGTTTTACTCAAGAATGCTAGACACCCGCGAGTTTTTTTAAGTACAGATTTGCCTTAAAGGTTTTAAATAGTATAAATATTATTCCTTGCCATTAAAAAATTAACGTTGACCATTAAAATAATGATATATCGTTAGCATTTTTAACGATAGGAAGTAACATTGCTACAATTTTAAGTTTTTGGAACAAATTTGAACAAAAAAACCTCACCTGAAAGAAAACTTTTGGGGCAAGTTTGTGCTTTAACCAAAAAACTAATGGTATTAAGATTGTTGAACTAAAAATGCACGTACTTTATAAATTTAAGAGACCAAAAGAAACTTAACATAAAGAAGAAACGTATAGTTTAGCCAAATTAAAACAAATAAAATTTTTTATTTAATACGCGCGTCTTAAATAAAATTTGAACAATACTCCTCCGGTCCTTAATATAGAACCCAATTCTTGAGTTGGTTTTGGTCCTAAATATAAGACTCATTTCTCATATTTATCAATTTTCTCTAAATTACCCCTATAGATACTCCCTCAACCATAATCAAGTAGAAGAGGGAGAGGAGGTATTAAGAAAGATGATTATGGTGTTTTAGAAAAAATGTGTCACTTTTCTTATAATTAACTAACCTACCTAATTTCCTTAATTTAATCAAATTAGTTAAATGGGTCTTATATTAAAGACCGGAGGAGTATTTTTTTACTTTTTTTTCCATCTCACATGAATTAAAACAAAATATTTATAAATACAGTATGGGAAAAAAAAAAAGCCAAAAGCATATATACTGCATACAGAAGCATAAAGGCTAGGCAGAACTCAGAAGGCACCAAGGGTACGAAATGAGGCAATGAATTCAGCACTAGAAAAAACATACAATTATTATTTCACACACACACACGCAAAATCCTTGTGGCTAACACTATATTATCATATTTTTATTGGATCGTCTGAATCTGCCTTTTTTTTTTTAATTGAGTAAATATGATAAAAATAAATATTAAACCTGTGCTACATATGTTCAAAACATAACGCAAACTATAGTTAAGCAGCAAGTCTCATATCATACCTGTTGAATGGAACATGCTGGACGGTGACGCTGGATATAACCTTCTGTTGTTTCTCTAAAACTGACAGTATCTTGGAAGTTCTGTTTCCATATGTGTTTGAGCTTAGGTAGACTAGAGAGAGTTATTCTCTTCAGTGGAATGGTCTCCTTAACGAAGACTTCCTTTCGATCCATGTTGCTTAAATCAAACACAGCTTCCAATGAATCACATTCACTTACTTGAAGCTCTTCTAAGTTGGATAGCGCTTGCACCAAACTTGAAGGTAGAAGCACATCGGATAAAAAATCACATTTCTGCACTACCAGATTCCTCAAATTAACAAACACTCCCTGTTGAACAAGGTTGTACCACGATTCTCTTAACTCTGGATACTGAGATAGCTCTAACTGCTCAAAACTATGGAATGCCACCTGCAAAAATTGAGGTGCAGGGTCAGTAGAAAGAAATAAAGGCATAAATAAAGCAAACTAAACATAAGGCTTTTTTAAATGTTTGTCCATAAAATTTTGCCATTGTAAGTCAGAAAAAGTTTGTAATTATATGTAGAGAATGGTCTTCTTCCTCTTGTCTATCAGAAATTTTTTAGTCAAATTCAAAACGTACCATATCCACAAACATCTTGTTTATTGTTCTGTTTATGTCACCTTCCCAATACAACTTTTCATCTTCTTCCTTTGACAGTATCCAAGGAAGCATTGGGGTGCTTGTGTCTCCCTCAGAGAATATCCTCATTCTTGGGCATTGCTTAACAACAACATTCACCAACAATGGAAGGTTCAGCACACAATTACTAGAGCAAAACCTTTTGATCATTGGCAGACACTCCAGCTCCAAAATTTGTAAGCTGTTTAATGCAATCTCATCTTCAGATCCCTCCCTCTCTTCTGCCGCCACAATTTGCTCAAGTGAATTGCAGTTCTTTATTTTCATTGTTGATAATTTGACCAGACTTCTTGCGGTTGATGAGGTAACCAAGTGAATCAATCCATTGCAATTTTCCACCCCCAAATATGTCAGTTGATTAAAAGTTACGGAGGAAGGCACTAAGTGTTTCAATTTGGAACAGTGACCCACATATAAGATTTCAAGTACCTCAAGAATTGGGTCTAATTGAAATCCTTCTTTACATATACGCTGGAGATCATGCAATTGACTGAGTGACAATGCTTTAACTCGCGTTCTGATCTTAAATTTTTCTCTGTCATCTGTAGTTATTTCTTCTTGGAATATCTCCTTGAAGGAACTATATTCAACTAGTAGCAAATCGAGAGTGGTGATGTTTTGGAGAAACCAATAGGGAAAAGTAGTGTTGACATCTTCAAAACTTGTCAAAGTAAGATATTTGAGTTTGCTGAAGTGTTTCTCTGAAAGTTTCCCCTGTAATATCATGCTTGCATCCTCACTATGTATGGCCAACATCTCCAAGTTGCAAATCACCTGTATACAATACAGGTAAAAAGCGTTGATCAAATATTTTGTCCAGAGCAACATAAACAGATACGGTAGTGAGGCAAAAGCAAGTGAGGAATAACACGCATAATTAAACCTGATTATGTTTTTGAATTAAAAAATGATTGTGAAAATGCATGCATTAAGGTATTTATTATTTCTAAATAAATTAAGATTTTTTTATAATCATTCCTATACCTCTTCGAGAGTGAAGAGAGGCTGCTGCATTGAGATTTGAAGTTTATGATCAAAAACAGATATAAGAGTGAGGTAGTAAACAAGTGATGAACAGTATGCATAATCAAATCTGATTAATTTTTTGAAAATGAAAAATTATTATGAACCAGTGCATGCATTGAGATATTTATATGTTCATTCCTATACCTCTTCAAGAGTGAAGAGAGGCTGCTGCATTGAGATTTGGAGTTTATGATCAAAAACTCTTTCTCGACCACTTGTACTTTGTGTCTTGAAGAGCTTCAGTTTCCCACATTGGCGGACATCTAATTCCCTTAATAATGGACATAGTATACTATATTTTCCAGCAAAAAGCCCCTCAAGTTCAAATAATTGCCAAAGCACCAAAGAGGTCAAGTGATTAAACTCAAATTTAATAGGACTGTCCATGAGGCCTTCTTTGCCCGAAACAATTACTTTCATCCTCCATGCTTTCTTTATGGTAATACGTTCAAGTTGAGTAGTTTGCATTGCAATGGAGAGTGGAAATAGGTATTCCATGGTCTCACAGTCTTCAACACACACAAGCTGCAAACTGGGGAAACGTACCTGCCATTTATTTGAATGCGGCAAGTCAAACACAGCCATGATATGTCATGAAACATGACCAATTATGATAATTCAGTAATACTAAATTGATCCTGCGAATGATGAATCAAGAAATTAAATCTTTAAATCTTAAAACATGTACAACAACGCGCAGCAAGATTATTATGATTTATGAATCTCCTTGTTTAGCAAGCTTCAATTATGCTGGCCAAAAAAAAAGAAAAAGAAAGGTTCCGATTGTCTAAAAAGTCTTTAAAAATAACTGGCTAAAGTATATGTTTGGTGTTTCATAGTTAGACCATGTTTTATTCTAGTCTTTTAAGTTTAGAAAGTGCATTTTTAATCCCTCAATCTTAACATCTTTAGCTTCACTTAATGGAAAATGTTAATTCATTAAACTTAGCAATGACTATGTAATTAAACACCAACGAAAATGCCTGGATTTAATGTTTTTAATATAATATTATTATATATTGGCAAAAAGTGATATTTTTATATTTAAATTAAAATTAAGCAGCCAGAAAATATAAAAATATTATGTTTTTCAACATAAAAATATTATATTTTTCCTCATTTATTTTTTTAACTTGAAAATATTAATTGTTTTCAAAATAAAAATATCACATTAAAAAGATTAAAATGCAGGTATGTTCTGTTAACATTTAATTTTGCTGTCATCACTTAAGTTTGATGGATCAACATTTTTCATTAAATTAAACTAAGGATTAATGTAGAAATTAAATTTGCTGAGAAGTTTTTACTCAATATTGCTAGACACCCGTGAGTTTTTTTTAAGTACAAATTTGTCTTAAAAATTTTCAATAGTAGAAATATTATCCCTTGTCATTAAAAAATTAATATTGACTGTTAAAATAGTGATGTGTCGTTAGCATTTTTAATGACAGGGAGTAACATTGCTACAATTTTAAATTTTTGGGACAAATTTGAACCAAAAAAATCCTCACCTAAAAGAAAACTTTTAGGGCAAGTTTGTACCTTAACCAAAAAACTAATGGTGTTAAGATTGTTGAACTAAAAATGTACTTTATAAATTTAAAAGACCAAAAGAAACGTATAGTTTAGCCAAATTAAAACAAATAAAAGTTTTTATTTAATATGCGCGTCTTAAATAAACTTTGAACCATATTTTTTACTTTTTTTTCCATCTCACATGAATTAAAACAAAATATTTATAAATACAGTGTGAAAAAAGAAGAAGCCAAAAGCATATATACTGTATACAGAAGCATAAAGGCTAGGCAGAACTCAGAAGGCACCGAGGGTACGAATCGGGGCAATGAATTCAGCACTTGAAAAAACATACAATTATTATTTCACACACACACGCAAAATCCTTGTGGCTAACACTATATTATCATATTTTTATTGGATCTTCTAAATCTGCCCTTTTTTTTATTATTGAGTAAATATGATAAAACTAAATATTAAACCCATGCTACATATGTTCAAAACAGAACGCAAACTATAGTTAAGCAGCAAGTCTCATATCATACCTGTTGAATGGAACATGCTGGACGGTGACGCTGGATATGACCTTCTGTTGTTTCTCTAAAACTGATAGTTTCTTGGAAGTTCTGTTTCCATATGTGTTTGAGCTTAGGCAGACTAGAGAGAGTTATTCTCTTCAGCGGAATGGTCTCCTTAACAAAGACTTCCTTTCGATCCATGTTGGTTAGATCAAACACAGCTTCCAATGACTCAGATTCACTCACTTGAAGCTCCTCTAAGTTGGATAGCGCTTGCACCAAATTTAAAGGCAGAAGCACATCTGATAAAAAATCACATTTCTGCACTACAAGATTCCTCAAATTAACAAACACTCCCTGTTGAACTTGGTTGTACCACGATTCTCTTAACTCGGGATATTGATATAGCTCTAAATGCTTAAAACCACGAAATGCAACCTGCAAAAATTGAGATGCAGGGTCAGTAAATGAAACGAAGAGCATATGTAAAGCAAGCTAGACATAAACATTTAGCTTTTTCTAATGGTATGTCCATTAAATTTTGCCTAAAGTAAAAAATGTTTGTAATTACGTAGAGCGTATTATTCTTTCTCTTACAAACATACCATATCATCAAACATCTTGTGTATAGTCTTATTTAGGTCACCTTCCCAATACATTTTTTCATCTTCTTCCTTTGATAGTATCTCTTGAAGCATCAGGGTGCTTGTGTTGTTCAGAGAGAAGATCCTCATTCTTGGGCATTGCTTAACAACAACTTTCACCAAAAATGGAAGGTTCAGCACACAATTACTAGAGCAAAACCTTTTGATCATTGGCAGACACTCCAGCTCCAAAATTTGTAAGTTGCTGAATGCAATTTCATCTTGAGACCCCTCCTTCTCTTCTGCCGCCACAATTTGCTCAAGTGAATTGCAGTTCTTTATTTTCATTGTTGATAATTTGACCAGACTTCTTGCGGTTGATGAGGTAATCAAGTGAATCAATCCATTGCAATTTTCCACCTCCAAATATGTCAACTGACTAAAAGTTACCGAGGAAGGCACTAAGTGTTTCAATTTGGAACAGTGACCCACATATAAGAGTTTAAGTACCTCAAGAACTGGGTCTAATTGAAATCCTTCTTTACATATATGCTGGAGATCATGCAATTGACTGAGTGACAATGCTTTAACTCGCGTTCTGATCTTAAATTTTTCTCTGTCATCTGTCGTTATTTCTTCTTGGAATATCTCCTTGAAGGAACTATATGCAACTTGTAGCAGATAGAGAGTGGTGATGTTTTGGAGAAACCAATAGGGAAAAGTAGTGTTGACATCTTCAAAACTTGTCAAAGTAAGATATTTGAGTTTGCTGAAGTGTTTCTCTGAAAGTTTCCCCTGTAATATCATGCTTGCATCCTCACTACGTATGGCCAACATCTCCAAGTTGCAAATCACCTGTATACAATACAGGTAAAAAGCGTTGATCAAATATTTTGTCCAGAGCAACATAAACAGATACGGTAGTGAGGCAAAAGCAAGTGAGGAATAACACGCATAATTAAACCTGATTATGTTTTTGAATTAAAAAATGATTGCGAAACAATGCATGCATTATGGTATTTATTAAAATAAATTAAGATTTTTTTATAATCATTCCTATACCTCTTCAAGAGTGAAGAGAGGCTACTGCATTGAGATTTGAAGTTCATGATCAAAAACAGATATAAGAGTGAGGTAGTAAACAAGTGATGAACAGTATGCATAATCAAATCTAATTAATTTTTTGAAAATGAAAAATTATTATGAAACAGTGCATGCATTGAGATATTTATATGTTCATTCCTATACCTCTTCAAATGTGAAAAGAGGTTGCTGCATTGAGATTTGTAGTTTACTATCAAAAACTCTGTCTTGTCCACCTGTACTTTGAGTCTTGAAGAGCTTCAACTTCCAACAAGCGAAGACATCTAATTCCCTTAATAATGGACATAGTATACTATATTTTCCAGGAAAAAGTCCCTCAAGTTCAAATAACTGCCAAAGTACCAAAGAGGTCAAGTGATTAAATTCAAATTTGACTGGACCATACATGGGGCCTTCTTTGTCTGAAATAATTCGTTTCATTCTCCCTGCATATTTTATGGTAATATCTTCAAGTTGAGTAGCTTGCATTGCAATGTAGAATGGAAAAAGGTATTCCAAGTTTTCACAGTCTTCAACACCCACAAGTTGCAAATTATGGAAACTAAAGTTTGCTTGAGCATCTCTACTCCAAATTTGCTTCAGCTTTGGCAAGCCAAAGAGATGGAGTTTCGTCAATTGTGAGACTTGTATGGTTGTTTCGTCTTCATTACGGACTTCTTTGGCAGTTAATTCGAATATCTCTTCTACTGAACCACAATCGCTGACCTTCAAAGTCTCAAGGCTTCCAAACGTTCCCTGCATATCAAATGGGAAAATATTCGCAAGTTTCCCACAATTGCTTACCTCCAAACTCTTTAACCTATCAAATTGAAAGTGCCATACTTTCTTCAAGCTTTCCATGTCTTTAACTACCATCGTCTCCAATTTTGTGAACCTGACCTGTGATACAAAGCACAATTTACAAATTCAAAAGAACCAACATTACATATGAATGATATTGAACGGAACCACACAAGGGCAAATGTTTGATGTTATCGACTTAACATTTATTTCAAGTCTAAACGTAATACCTCTTGTGAAACAATGCCACTTGGAGCAATGATCTCCTCCATCATCTCACATTTGCTTATTTCAAGGTGTTTAAGTTTTAAAAGACTTCCAATCAGAGAAGATAAGAATAGATACTTGAGGCCTCTGCAATCCTCAACTATCAAGTTAGCCAAATTGTGAATACAATTCGCTGCAGAAAGGTGATGATCATCCCAAATTTTTTCCAGATTGATTGAACTCAACTTCAGGGTCTCCAAACTAGAAAAAGTAACCTGTGAAAAAAAAAAATTATTTTCAACTTGGTAAATATAAAAAAAGGGAAAATGACCACACAAAAAAAGAAGCTGACAATTATTAAATTTCAAATAACAGATGTTAACAAAAATTTGTTGTTATTTGTAAACTAAGTGTTATCAACACTGATAATTTGATTTGGAATATAATAATTCTCATTTTTTTTTCCTGTAAAAATAATGGAAAGATGACCATTTATCCAAACTAAAGATACTGATAATTTGGTACCGTGAATCTAATAAATTATAAATAAGTCTCAGAGAATTTGAGTATCAGTTTTATCACTTGTAAAATTTCTAATTTGTCCATCTTAACCTTACCTTTAGCCGTTGATTGAAAGACCAGTCGGACTGTCATCACCAGTACCACAGTACATATAATTAATATTTCAATAATATTTTATTAAAATACTTTTATTTGCATATATTTCTCTATAACGATTTTCAAGTCTACATCTGCTATTTAAAGATCAAACTTTGTAATTCATCACCCAGCCTAATTTTTTTTTCATATTCAAATTTTACAAATTCATTTAAAACTTTTATCCCTTATTCTACAAATTATTGCTTCAAAATTTATGACTCTGCTATTTCTACCACACAAATTTCTTGCAAAATCTTTAAAATGTGCATGTTTATAGGTTTTTCAAATGTTGCAAGTTGATTGTTTGGAATTGAAAAATTTTTCACCGTTTTAAAAAGTAATGTATTACAGTGTTTTTGTAAAAATTTATTATATAAACATGTTTTATAAGTAAATGCATTTGTATGAAATTACTCCATAAGTCTCTTATTATAGGAAACAACTATTAAAATCACGCAGTTTAAAATATTAGTTAAATTTCGTTTAAAGTAATAAATGGGTAAGATATATGCATATTTTTAATTATACCTTTATTTGTAAAGAAATTACCTAAGAGATCATTAGTGAAAATTTTTCACAAAAAAATAATAAGTGGCATATATTTAATAGGGATAAAAGTGGAATGACCAATTTAAAATTTTAGACAAAAATAATTTTTTATATTTAAAAATAATATTATGAAGGAAATTGTTTCTAATAAAAAGGGGATGGAGAGAGTATCATTTAAACAAGTAGTAAAATGGATTTGTTAAACACGCTTGAAAATCTTGTCGGCCAAGACAACGCTTGAGTATTAGTTTATTACTGTGACACTAATTAAATCATTATAAATCTAAATTAAATAGCCCAACATATTAAGAAGCTTTCTTTAAAAATAAAAATAAAAAATGTAAACAACCGAAGAATTGTAAAATTGAAAGATATAAATTGCAGAAAAAGAAGAGGCCAAATTAAGACATAAGTTGTAAATAATCTATTACTTGTAAATAACGGAGATGGACTTGTAAATTGTTACAGGAAAATATTATTAAAATAATCATATTTATTTCATAAAAATATAATCATAGTTAAGTTAATAATTATTAAAATGTTGATAATAATTTTTTAATGCCTTACTGGTTCTAGTACTAACCAGCTGGTCACCCGCCAATGGTTTTAGAAAAAACATGTAATAAAACAAATTTGTGGGACAAAATTTTGGTTCTTTTTAAAAATATACACGAAAAAATTTTGTGATCATGACAACAAATGTTGATAAATTCAATGAAACGATGAGTAATTTATATGATTAAAAATTTATACATTGCACCTCATTAGTCATTTTATAAAATATCATTTATTCAAAAAAATATCAATAATCTGACATTCTACTTTTAGATTTATATACACACACTCAAGTTCGTTTCAAAATTACCATACATGATTATTGTGATAGTACTCACTTATGATCCAGTCATTTGATTTTTAAATTGCAAATAAGAGAATTATAAAACAAATAAAAAGTAAACATACCTTAATGCCATTAAATAATGATGTGGCTGTCACAAAAGATGTCAAGTCCTTTGAGCAGAAATCATGAATGACTGGTAAATGACAAAGACTCAGAGAACATAGTGAATGAAACTCAATCTTGTTATCACTAGTTATTCCACCATCTTCATTTTCAGTTGACACAATCCTCTCCATTGAACTGCATTTCAAAACTTGGAGCTCAACAAGTTGAGGAAGTGCTTTCACCATTGCAACAGAGAAGAGATATGTTAGTTGGTCACAACTTTGAACTTTGATGACTGTTATTTTGCCAAAGGAATTAATAGGAAGTGGGCCATGACATATCTTCACTAAGTTATTGAGATTGTGAAGTATTAGCGTCTCCAATTCCGGGAACAAAACATGGGTTTCATCCCTCTTTGTTGTGTTGATAATATGTTGAAGTTGGCCATTATTTTGGATATGGAGATGCTTTAGTAGCGGAAATCCTTCACCATTCAAATTAAAAAGCACATCCGAAATTCCTTTGACTTCATCTAAGTACAAATCTTCTGCTCGTTTAATCAATGATTTAATTCCATGTTCTAAATGAATGCTAGTGTCAAGCTTTAGCTTTATCAACCTTGAGATCCTTTTGTTGCTTGACCATTCCCATTTATCTCCAATGACAACCTTATATCTTTCTAACTTGTTAAACATCATGTCCCTCGGCAACATCCAAGACTCACGAATTTGAATTTCTAAAGCAGTCAGACTTGTCAAACACCCAAACTCAGCAAGACTAGCACTTTTTTGTTTAGTTGAACTTTCCTCCTCCCATTTAATTGAGGCGTTGCCCACATAAAGTTCCTCTATTTTAGTCAAATTGGACAAAATATTGGGTGGGATAGTCTTAATTATAGAATTGCTCAGATCCAACATTCTCAGACGAGACAGATGTTGTACTTCGCTCGGCAACTCCTCTATGAATGATTTAATGAGACTAAGAACTTCTAGATTTATTAAATCACCTATTCCGGCCATATGTTTTAGAGTGCAATCATCCAAACATAATGTTTTAAGTTTGGTCAAGGAAACAAGAGATGTAGGTAATGAAGACATCACCAAGCCTGTCAAATCTAATGTTTCAAGGCTTCTCATTCCCTCAAAAAAGGATTCTGGAATTTCCAGAGTGCAATTATCAGGGTATTGTAACTGAAAAAACTTCAAATTAGGGCACTCTAACTTTTGAGGAAGCTCTTGGATAAAATAATTTTCTAAGATTATTTGAGTACACTCTTCAAGAAATCCCTTGCTTGGCCAATCTTGCATCCTGCCATTTCTCAGCACAAAAACATATTCATTCTTACGAGCAATTGAAACAGCTACTTCGCTAACAAGGTCATGCATTTTAATCACATTGGTCTCACTTGCATCATCCTCAATTAACAAACAAGATGCCTTCAAGTGATCAATTATTTTATATAGTTCGCTTCTTGCCTCTTCAAGGGTATCTATGTACTTCAAAATACCCAAACCAATTACATATTTCAACAAGTCACGGACGACCATGGATGGTCCATGTACACCACAAAGCAAGAATACTTTCTTCATTTCATCATCTTCCAATCGATTGTAAGTAAATTCAAAGGCTGAAAAAACAGTCCCATACATGTCCCCATTATCAACTCTCTTTAAGTTGTTCAAGGCAGCTTTCCAATAATGAATATTCTTATTATGTTTTAATGACTTTGCAATTGAGACTATCATAACAGGCAGACCTGCACATCTTTCAACCACTTGGGTGGCTATCTTTTGCAAATTTGCATCTTTAATAGCATCACCAACTATATCTTCAAACAAACTCCTCGATTCTGCATTATTCAATGCCTCGACAACAAAGTTCTTTTGAGTCTCATTCTTTTGTAAAATATCTAAACGTCTAGAAGTGAACAATAATTTGCAACCCTGATAAGTTTCATTCTTCTGTGGCATAACTAAACGTTTAGAAGTCAATGAAAATTTTCCACCCTTAAGATCTTGCTCAGAAGGAATTCCCAGCTTGTCCAAATCAATTTCCTCCCACAAGTCATCTAGTATGATAAGGATATTTTTCTCCAATTTTATCCTTGCACATAGGCGGTCAGCTCTTCCAATGGAGGTCTTCTCATCCAAGTGGAAGCCTAATTGATATGCAATCTCATCTTGAACTCTTTCAACATCCAAAGTTTGGGATCCAGTTGCCATAGCCACCACATCAAACAGCCTGTCATCCTTAACATGTTTGGCAACTTCTTTAGCTAGAGTGGTCTTCCCCACTCCACCCCACCCATAAATTCCAACTTTGCTTACTTTTGGGTCGGTTAGAGCCAAAATAACCTGCTCCTGCACTGAGAGTCTTGAGTCAAGCTTTTCATTGCCTGGAGTAGCAGAAATTAAGCTTGCTATGCCAGAAGCAGGAACATGCCCAACCCCCCGATCAAACGTCCCCTTTTCCTTCAGTTCAGCAATGGTAAATGCCATTTTCTTTGCTTTTCTACCAAGTTGATGTCGTGATATCAAATTAGGAAAAGACCATTTCCAGCACCGTGCACTAGTATGAGTTTGATCTTCACCAAGCTTCTCGACTTCTTTCAAGGTCTCATCAACTCTTTCTTGCCAACTTACTACATCAACTTCAATCTCTTTTCCATTTCTTCTTTCTGCTTCAACAAGATGCTCTATGCGAAGTTTTGTTGACCTCAAGTCCTCAATTTTATCCTCTAGCTCCTTGTAATTTTCTTTGTAAGATAATAAATATCCCACTTGCCTACCAATGGGTATCACAGTTAACTCTGCTATTTTTCCAGCAATAGCAGTGAGAACTTCCATTCTTTTCTTCCTGAATAAAATGTTAAGAAATTTAGTCCTAAAATAAATAGAAGTCACAAGTATCCCACCCCCTTAAATAAAATAGGGACGCATACCTAAACGACGCACATCTACGTATACAATTGCTCAACTTTAACTAATAAAACGCAGTATGATCAGTAGTACTTGTGTCTCTGCTTCCATCTCTTCTTGCTCATCGTTTCCAGCTTGCTTTGAATTGTATATATGATCGGCCCAGAAAAACAACAAAGAAAGGCATCATGGGATTTTCTTTTCCTCCTTGTATTTTTTTTTTTTTGGGTCTTCAATGAATGAGTAGAGCTAGTAATATGAGTTAAACCTACGGTCCAACCCGTCAACCAGCCTTAAACAAATCTTTTGAACCCGCACAGCCAAGTCCGCAACCCGGGGGCTGACCTCCAAATTTTTTTTATTTTTAAAAATTTTTAAAATTTTTATAACTACATTATTATATATTATATCTTATCTAAAAAAATGGAAAAAAGACAGTAAAATACTCTCAAAATTACTAAATGACAAATTAGGATAGGTAAATTTCAAAATCCCAATTCAGACCCCAGGTACCATTTTGGCATTTTTAAATGTTGTAAAATTACACAAATGCCCTTTACTTTTTTTTACTTTTTTAAATACTGCCACATCAGCAATTTCGGTTGCCGGAGCTCCGACGCCGATGACCCTGCCGGCAACCAACCACCGGAGCTCCGGCGACCGATGACCGGTTGTCGGAGTTCCGGTGACTACTCTTTCTTATATATTGACTACTCTTTTTTAGCTATTGACTATATTTATTTTTGAACTTTGATGACACGTTACCGGAATTCCGGTGACTGGTCAGGGGTGCTCTAATGACTACTCTTTTTTAGTTATTGACTACATTTATTTTTAAATTCTGATGACTACTCTTTTTTAGCTATTGACTACATTTATTTTTAAATTCTGATGACTACTCTTGCTTATGTATTCACTACTCTTTTTTAGCTATTGACTAGATTTATTTTTAAATTATGATGACTACTCTTGCTAAGCTATTGACTACTCCAGTAATGCGATTTACTACTCTTGTGTAGTCAATAGCTATATAAAAATATTCATTGGAACTTTGAAAACAAAAGTTGTCAATAGTTAAAACAGAGTAATCAATAGCTATATGGAAGTAGTCACCGACAATAAGGACAATGTTGTCATTTTACAAGATTTGAAAATTTCAAAATGGTACCTAGGGTCTGAATTGGGATTTTGAAATTTACCTACCCTAATTTGTCATTTAGTAATTTTGAGGGTATTTTATTGTCTTTTTCCCTAAAAAATTACCTATATAATTTATTTGATGCTTTAAATTAAATATTTTAACAAAAAATAAAGATATCTTTATTTTTTTTTTGATATTGAATAAAAAAATATTAAAGGATAAAAAAATTTAAAAAAAAGTAAAATAATTGTTGGCGGGTTCGCGGGCCAACCCACCTTGTTCAGCCAACTCGCCTTCAAACAACACTTTCTAACCTGATTCATATGGGTCCAACCCGTCACAGATCAACCCGCGACCCATGGGTTGACTCGTATTACCCCCTTGTTAGGTAGCAGAAAACATGGACATGCAAGAAAGAAATGGAACCAGAATTGTACTATCAGCCCACACTGCTTTTGGGCCAACATATTAGCCCACACTGAATTAGTCAAACATTGCGAAGGGGCTTAAACCCCCCAGAACATATGATTTGCTGCTTCAATAAGGCCTAAACAATTGACCCAAAATAAAATCAGGATCGAGGTGGGAAAAAAGGCCAACACAAAGTTTGCTGGGAGGCTCGTGGTGGGCCACGGGTTGCCAAGTGTGGATTAGACCCACACTTTTGCCAACCCAAACCTACGAACCTTCCCTTTTTTAAAATTCTCTTACATTTTAAAATATTCTATTTTAATTTTAAAAATTAAATTATAACTTTTTACAGACTAAATTTAGGTTGTTCTGTCCATGAAGCTATGTAGTTAAACTAACTCCAAAACTTATAAGCATAAACATATAATCTATTTTATATATTTATTCTTTTGTCATCACAATTTTACATAATTATAATATTAATATAAACATGATAAATCAGTAAAGAAAATGAGAAATCAAACATATAGTTGCTAACATAAAATTGGACTATATTCAAATTAAGTACAAGATAGGAAATTTTTTTATAAAATTTAAAATAAAATTTTATTTAAATAAAAAAGGGAGCCAGTCCATGGGTTGCCGAGGTAGATTAAAGAAGTATACGTTAAAACGGGCTCCTGTTTTGCAAACCTAAACCTGTATTATTTTTAGTTGGCAGATTAGACCTGCTGACCCAACTCATATTACCATATTTAGTTAGGCCTAAATTTAATCCTTCCATCTCTCATAGTCATATTTACTCCATGTCTAGTATGAGAGAAATGTGAGAGGAGAAAAAATTTTAACGAGTTTGATTTAAAAAATTAGAGAAATAAGATTATAAAATTTTAATAAAGAAAAGAGATAAAATAAAAGTGTAAGAGCAATTAATTAAAAACTTTTCACCATACTTTTTTTTTTTTTTTACCAGAGAACTTTTCACCATACTTCAACTCATACAAGATTAGTCTAAATGAATATATTATATTGTAACTTACGGCCCAGTGAGAAACTCCATAACCACAAAGACCATAGCCGAAGGAGATGACTTGCTATAAAGATAAGAAGTGACATCTATATCTATAGTAACAACAACAATAAAAGCAATACTAAGGGAAATAATAAAAAGGAAGTATATATTTATGGAAAAAAAAACTAATTACAAGTTTGTATAATTTCACAAGTTACAAAGTAACCGTTTTTTTTTTTTCCTTTTTATCATGTTATTAGAATTTCATCTTATTTTAATCATGTCCTTAGAGTTTTTTATTTTCCTTTTCATCATGTCCTCATAGTAGATTAAAAACACTACATGTAAAACTATAAGATTATGGTAAAAAGAAACTACAAAAATCTTATTAATATAAATAAAACTATGAATACTTGATAAACAAAAATCAAAGGGATCTTATTGAGAGTAATTAATTATCACATACGCATACCTTACCCAAAGTGAATGAGAGGCGAGCTGTGGTTGTTCTTTCTAGCTTGAGGTCTGAGGAAGTTCTGTAATCGGGAAAAAACAGATTAAGTTGTTTCAATTCATAGCATTAATTATTAGTTATTTTAGTTATTTTATCTAAAAACTTATAACTATCAAGAGGCAGAATTTACCAGCAACACTATTGATCAGCACAACTTTCAGATCCCTTGAATATGAAGCAGACACTTCCAAAATCTTTAAGATAAAGACTCTCTCTCTCTGTTTTTTTTTTTCTTTTTGAGATTTGTATATGAGATTGATCACAATGCACAACAACAGGCTTTGTTCAAACCAGAGGACTTCTTTTTTTTTTTGGGGAGAAAAAACAATTTTATATGTGAACTTAAGAGGAAGAAAAAAGACAACTTTGAAGGGGATTTTTTTTCCAAATATTTTTAGGCAGATGATTGACAAGAAAACAACAAAGCTGACGCAGGAAAATAATCTCTCTCTTTTTTTTTTTTTTTGAGAAGTAGCTTGTATGTGGAAAACAGTGAAATAAGTTTGATCTGAAAGCTAGGAAGAAGGAGTGAACAGATATATGGAAGATACAACACAAGAATTACAAGTTAGGACTTCTTAGGAAATGAATGTTTGATTTTGAATGATTTCTTCAGAAACTTGAAGGAAACAGTAGAACAACTTCAAAAAACACAGAGTGCTTAGAAAAGGTTTGAGAAATGGGAAGCAATCAATATCAGATGGTCCACGACAAGAAGAAGACGCTTCCAAAGACACAAAAGTTGTTTTTTTTTTTTTGGTTCTCTTTTGAGATTTTTATACAGGATCGAACACAATGAAAAGCAGCAGACTTGTTATAATATAATGCAGAAGATGAACAGCAAGGGAAAAAAACTTCAAACGATTTTTTTTAAAATTTTTATGGGTATATGATTGACAAGAAAACAAATTTGATGCAGAAAACAGACTCTTTTTTTTTGGGTTTTTGAAAAATAACTTCTATGTGGACGACAAGGAAACAAGTTTGACCTGAAAAATGAAACAAGGTCTGGCAGGAAAAAGAAAACAGAGAAAGAAAGTTGGGAACAAGGAGTGAACAGATATGACAGAGACAAGTAAATGATTTGGAATGATTTGTTTCTGAAACTTGCAAGAAAACAGAGGAAGAAATTTGAAGAACAGAGTGTGCTGAAAGTTTTAGAAGCAGGAGGCAATGAATATCTGATCTCACTGTAAACAATGGCAATAATAAGATGTGGAAGAAGGTGAACTGTAAGAGAAACACATAAAAGAAAGATTAATGCTTGCCTGCACATCGAGGAAAGGACCTTGTAAATTATTTTGGGGGCTCAACTTTATACCTTGCTTCTTGTCCAGTCCTACAAATTATTCTTGAAAAAGAAAAGTACAAGAACCTTAATTACCTCCATGAAATTTGACAAAAAAAATTCGAATATGACTGTGAAAAATACATTGATTATCAAAAAATTAATAAGATCAAGATACAAATGCACATTTGGTCTATAAGGTTTCAATTTGATTCTTTAATTATATAAAGTGTCTTTTCAAACTTTTAGTCTCAATGCTGTTAGTTTCATTAGGTGATATAATATTTTTCGTGAATCATATACGCATGAGCGTATCATACGGTTACTGCCTCCGTACGTATTGGTCATTTTCTAAAACAAATAAATAATATATAAATTCAGGTGTTTAAATAAAAGCAAGTTTGTAAGTTTCTTTTATAGGAGAATTACAATGAGGTCCCAAAAAAAAAAATTACAAAACAAATCTTGCTTAGGTTATTATTAGAACTCTTTAGTAATTATTTTTCTTTGGGACATCATTGTAATTCTCCCTTCTTTCATTTATACATAATTGTACTAATTT